TTTATTCTATTTTCTTAACTTATTGTTAGTTTAAACCAAAATAAGCGTACTGGAATTATAATTCCTATAACATGAGATCATCGCACATCAATCAAAATTTGAATTTGGAGATTAAAATCTTATCCTAAAAATATATCTTTCGATTACAAACAAAACTGTAAAAACTCGTTCTTAAAACGGAGTACTAACATTCCGGTAAAACAGTTGAGGTATATTCCACGATGTTTGTTAAGCCATCGCGAGACGTTTGCTTTTGTGTGATAAATCTTTCATTTCTCTCGGGAAAACGCAGTCTATCTTTCGCGCTTTTATAACGATAAAGCAGAGTAAAATACGCTATCCGTCGAGACAGTGGGACACGATAATAAAATATTAATATAAGAATGCCGGAACATGTTCGCGCTGGAAGAAGTAAATCTCGGATAAGATTAAAAAGAAGAAGAAAGTGTGTGTACGAGACGCTTTTGAAACGGGAACGAGATGACAAAGTTCTTCGCCGATGTATATCTGCTGACTATTTGATAAACTTTGATATCGATTGCGTAAGTATGGTGAAGTACATGTGACATCTAAATTTATGAGAAAGTTACTTCTATGACCCGAATAAGTAAACAAACACTTATGAGTGCTGAATTATACACGTCTGTTTTAAAAAAAAAACCGTGTTATGAATAAATAATTTTGTCACGTATTTTTAGAAAACTGATATAATTAATTTCAAACAGTTCTTATTTAAACGAAACATCGTGAACGTGCGTACTTTTGTTGGGTACGAATTAAATATCACTTTACAGAACGATTCATTCCGCGTTCTCTTTTTCGCGCAGTGTTTTCACAATAATCGATTTAATTAAATTCTCAACAATAGTTATCGTCGGAAGTTCGCCGATCGATCCCGTTTACCTGCGAAACTTTAAACGCACACGCGTTATGGCGTAAATATAATTCTGCGCAACGAGCTGCTCTATCCGCGATAGACGCGGTGCATTAGGCACACCCCGTACACGAACTCCCGATAATGCACGGGGGATAAACGTAACAGAGAATTTAAGACAAATATTTGTTTGCCACATAACATGGAAACTTGTCGTACTGAAGCTGGATATAGGGTAATCGATGTGAAGATAAAATTAAAGTTTTAACAAAATGGAAGAGAGAAAATTATGTGTCTTTCGCAAAAGAGAAATAAATAAGTTCTAGTTAATATTATCTTTTCGCTCGCTATATAAGAAAATTTTTGTTTTATAATATACATAAGATCAAAAGAGTTAATATTAAATATAAAATTATATTACTTTATTAGGTAGGAAATTAAAAGGATCTTGATTTTTATATATTTTATATATTTTTTTATTTCTTTGTCACGTAAAACAAAATTATATATTATTAAAAAATTTAATATCGAGGAAATAATGAAATTATTTTTACAGTTTGAAACTTATATACACAAGATTCCCTATAAATTTAACGAGGAATAAATATAACGGGAAATGTAAGATTTAAGAACATTTGTTTATCCCGTAACGCGATACCCTGTCACAGCGGTACCCGACATCTCGGACCAGATCGGCGTACGGGGAAAGGGCAGAGGATGAGTTAAACTTTTAACGAGCTTTCTTCCTTTCTCCTCTCACGGCCCTCTTAAAGTTCTCCTTGAGAACAGCGTGCAACTCTCGCGCTACCCGCGTTTCTGTTTCATCGTGTTTCCCGTCGACGAATGCCGAACTTCCTCCTATCGTCCTGCGATGACACAGGTCTGCATTTATCCACGACCGTCCATCCATCACAGGCGACGAAGCTTCTCCGCGAAGAGGCACGTGATTTATCTGCTTGGTGAATGCGTCGGTCAAAATCGCTTGGATGAGAAAAGCCGGCATGCCCGCGACGGACGTTTGCGTTCCTTTCTGTTGTACAGAATTAAGCACAGTTCTGATAATTTTCTCGTTTTCCATCGATATCTTCAGGCTGACTTGTTCCACTTTTCGATAAATTTCAGCTGATTGACTCTCTTGCTCTCGCTACGGTCTTCATTCTCTTTTTCGCTCTTTCTTTTGTCCATTAGATAAATTACCACATAGTTTACTGTTCCGAAGTTGGAACAACCGGCCTTACGTGTGGTAACCATTGAGCTATTAGTTTAAAAACATTAATTGATCATTAATTATGTAATAATTAAACTGTAAAAAATAAAATGTTAGTTTTGACTTAAAGATATATAGTGCATGGACTTTTGAGACATACATGTGTTAATTCTAACATTTTTGCATGTCTCAGAAAGTCCACTATACGTCTTTAAGCAAAATTAATATTTTATTTTTTACAATGTAAAGTATTTGTAATCATAAAATATTTGTAATAATAATGTACGTAAAATATTTGTAATAATAAATGTATACTCCCCAAGACATATTTCGCGTCTTTTGAAGATGTATATTATGTGTTCTCTCTCAAAGCATTGCCAAAAACATAAAGATTTTATACAGATTGTTCTATTATTACGTCTAAGTATCTGTGTAAAATTTGAGCACAATTCTCTTATTAGTTTAAAAGTTATTAAATTTTTTTACTTACCTTGATTCTTCTATGTGAAACTTATTTGCAAATTTTTGAGAGCATTACGAATTGAATCAATTTTTTATGTACATTAATATTACATTAATATTAATAAAACTTTATAAATACTAATAAATATTCGTGCGAAAATTCATTTATTTGGATTCGTTTACTCGTTTAAAAGTCATTTACCTAAAACAGCAGCAAAATATGATCATTTCGTTGCACGAAGTAATTACCTATAAAATTATTTGTTGTTTTGTTTTTTTGCAGTGAATTTCAAAGCGTATTTATTGCAACAATTTTTTGGCTTATATTAGCAGATATTGATTTTTTAAACTGATTTTTTTGGCTGATACTTCTAGTACTCAGGGTTGGTAAAAAACATGTTTTAAACGTGTTTTAAACAGTTTAAAACATGCTTAATTGATGTTTTTAATATGTTTTAAATATGTTTTTTTATAGTACTGTTTAAAGCATTTTTGAAGCATATTAAAAACATATTTAAGAAGAAACACAATATATTTTATTCTTAAAAAAAAACGTTAGTCTTTACCAACCCTGCTTCTAGTTGATGTACAGCTAAAACATCTTTAACAAAAATGAGTAATCGAATCGGATAATATTATATTCTATTATGTCATATTTGTGTCATATTTATTGCCGTTAAGTACGAGTACATTTCTGTAGCTTTACTCGAATTTATAGTGCACAGACGTGTGCTATAAATTTTTCTCTTCTTGTCATCGACTACGCTATAGTCTAGAAAGCACTTTTGTATTTATTAGGACGTGTATGGAGCTCACGCAGTGTATGTCACGCATTATAGTCGAATGGCGAGCATAGCGAAAAATAGTATATAACCTCCTATACGCTCTTTCTTTCTTTTTTTTTTTGTTCATCTCTTTTCCTTTCAGAGCACGCTTCCGGCACGTGGCCGAGATTCCGCCGCGATATCGCGAGAACGGCAATTATTTCGTTGCAAGAATTTTCCTGAAACGTTTCCGGAATTTTCGCGCAAAGTTAATGGAATTTGAAGGAGAAAGTTACGAACACGGCCTCGAACACCTGCCGTAATAAGATATTTCGTGTGCGTGCGCGCACACGTACAGTTGTTAGTGGTGGCATTCCTCTCGAAATAATAATAATTTCATGAAACTTCGCGTTTCTTCCGCAGGTTGCGACTGAATAATGTTATCAAATGCACCGAGCTTGCATGCTGTGTATAAACCGTAAAGACTGAAACAAATGGAGGCTTTCTTGTTAGAAAAATGTTGCAAGCTCCGTTCTTTATTTTTACAGATACTTTTGATGGAGTATTTCGTAAAACATTTATAGTATTAAACAACATACCTGTATGTTTTTTCCATTACATTATTTTTATCAGTGATATAATTGTAACTAATACCCTTAATAAATATTTGGAGAGAAGTAATTTATATTACTTAGAAAAACTGGGAAAGTAAAGAAAGATTTGGATCGTACTTGTATAATGAGCTTTTAAGACATTTACAATTACAAAAGCTTATTAGAAAAGCTTTAATTGCTATAAATAAAGTTGTACAAAACACTGTATAGAAAATAAAAGACTGATAAAAATAAAATAGCGCTATCGCAACTACTACCATAACTAACGATAGAAATGCTCGCAGTCACGATTTGCTCTCTCGTCTCTTCCTCTCCTTGAACATTGTCCGTGATTCGCGTATTCGACATTCGGCGAGTTCCCGTGCCAGCAACACGTGATATTCCGAGACTCCTACATTCCGTCGCGTCAAAAACCCGCATGCGTGCGATGCATAAGGACGAGCGACGAGCGACGGAATGCGCTGTGCCGCGATTTCTTGACGAGAGCAGGATGCGCGGGCCGATTGGCCGATCATGCGCGAGCTTTTCGAACTTTCGACCGGCCGGAGATCGGCGGTCCGTGTTGAGAGAGCAGTCAGTGTAGTCAGTGCAGTCAATGCAGCCGGTGATTCCGTGGACCCTCTCTTGGAGTCGGGGGCGTCGATTCTGTTAGCGGGAAAGTGCCGCCGCGAGGGGTGCGTTTCGAAAAGGCACTTTGCCGCTCCAGGAGTGGCTAGACGTATCTGTGGTGGGGAGGTATTATAGCGAGAGCGGAGCCGAGAGGGTAAGGAGAGAGTGGTAGCAGGGGGTGAGATAAGCAGTCAGAGCGAGAGAAAGAGGAAAGAGAGTGAGCGAACGAGCGAGCGAGCGAGCAAGCGAGAGAGAGAGAGAGAGAGAGAAGGGGGGGAGGTGCAGGTAGATAGAGAGGGTCTCGGAGAGAGGGAAGGGACGGTCCGGAGGGATGGAGACCGTGAGAGCGTGAGAGGGTAGCGATTGTGCTACAGTCGCACCGCGACACCCCCACGAGCGAAATCGCGCGCGGCAGCCCGCATTTTCGTGTATAAAAGCCCGTGTACGTGTATCGCGAAAAAGGGCCCGCGAACAGTGCTATGCTTTTGAGGCTGCAATTGGGAAGGTGTCCTCCATCTTCGTCGTTGGCTTTATCCTCATCGTTTTCTTTCAAGTGAGAGCGTAAAAGCCATACGGAGCGTAGCGCTTCCAATGGGGTAAGTTTTATATAAGTGTTTTTAAATGATGTATATTTTTTTAATTTACAGATAGTAATTTTTATTTTACTATAGTGAAATAAATAACATTTTTAACATGGCGGTTAAAAAAAATCGGACAGTTTTGACAAAATAAACGTATGAATAAATTAAATAAAATCTTTAACTAATTTTAAGTTCGCTTAATAAAATTTCTTGCGGTATATGGTATTAGATATTGAAAGTTAAAAAATTGATACGATGGTGTCTGATCAAATATTTACTAAGAAAATATCGACTTTATTTTTTTTTGTTTTCGAAAGTGCTTGTCTTTTAGAATATCGTATTTGGATAAGGAGACAGATTTCAGCAGGATGCATTCAGAGATAAGATCAAGATTCAATAAAATTTTTCAGAAAGTTTAAGAATAAAAACGCAATACATTATTTTCATTTTTTAATACATTAATTACAGGTTTTTATTTTGTATATTTTTATTGCATGCTATTTTTTTTAATAAATTTATTTCTAATAATTAGAAATTAGATTGAGTTTGATTAGAAACTGCGCTTATTGTAAATAAGTTGCTTTATTTTGTACGCCGATAGCAGATTTTAAATTCTTGCTGCTTGAAAACGAAGTGACCGTTTTAGTTACTATATATTTATAGCGATAGCAAGATTAATTAAAGATGTCGAATAAATAAAATAATTGGTGCATGTATCATTGAGGAAGATTTTATGTTACGTGAGTTAATTTTTATTTGTCTCGTGATTTATTTTTAGCCAAAACGAATCCACTTTATGTGTCTGTTTTAATATTTTTTAATATTATTGTTATCTATCGCTTTTTTAAGAACATAAATTCCAATTATTGGAATTAAATTTTTTCGAAGTTCCAATTCAATACGTTGAAATATTGAATTTACACAAAATTTAATTTGGTTCATTGGAGTAGGAATGAAACTTTAAAATAACATACTGTACAGTTTTCTCATTCCTTTACGTAATATTAGAGAAGAGATTGCATCTCTCTCCCCCCCCCCTCTCTCTCTCGATCTTGATGAGCTTGTTTCTTAAACGCAGCAGGAAGCTAAGATACCAAATGTATTAGTTCTTATTTAGATACTTGTACTAATTTATTAAATTCCTTAGGAAGAAAATAATTTCGTCGGAGATTAACTAGACGGAATTCGCAGCGATATAGTGTAGATTCCGCATTCTTTCTTGGAGGAAAATTAATTTCGCAGAGGCTCTTTTAACCGGTCGGAATTATAAACGATACAGCGCTCGTTATTTCCGAGTCGAACACTATTAGATGTACCGAGATACGAGTATGCGCAATTTTTCCGCGATGAGATCGATCGAAGGATTATTTCTCGGGATCGTTTGTTAAAACGTCGTCGAGGTCAGTGCGAAGGGAAGGTCGCGGGCCTTTGCGCGATTCAACGGCGACCTGTTGATGATCTTTCTCCGACTCGGTGCGTTTCAAGAAATACCCTCAGGAATTACGTGCACGTTTATCCTCTTCCTTGTGAGCAGCATACATAGAATGGTTTAGGAATAGCATTATTTGACTGTAGTAAAAAAGATGTTAACATAATGTTGAAGGATTTAGAAGATTTTATTTTTTTTCAATATTGAAATATATTTATAAATGCAAGTTTTTATGTGGAAATTTAATTAATTATGTTCACAAGATTGCAAATAAATAATAAAATATCCTATTTTTACTTCTAAATTGAAATTGTTATTTCTAAAATAAACTGAGATAAATAATAATTTTTAACATTTGATTATAAATATACTTACAATTAATATTGGAAATTAAGAAGTGTTAAATTAATCAAATAATTTACGTATGAAAGATACACATACGATAATGATTTATTATTGTAATAATGGATTTTCTATACTCGGCAGCATTCATTAATAGACAAAATAGTTTTTGGAATTAATTTTATAATTAATTTAATGTATAATAATTATTTAATGAATAGAAAATTGATATTTGATGCACAGTAATACAATATATCTTCATTATTTGCTCATTTATATATTGATTTAATTTCTTTGAAATACTGTTTGTATTCGATAAAAACCTGTTGAAGACGCGGCAACTTGGCCGCACCGATGGAGTCACCTGTCCGATTACCAATATTGATCATAGTGCCTAAGTTGTCAAAGTTGCGAGAGCTCCTTTGACAGAATCGTTCTGAATTGTTATGAAAGTTTCATTAATTCCGATCAATAGGATACTATTGCAAAAATAATATTCGCGCAACGAGAAGTAATAACTCGCTCGATCGCGTCTCGTCTTTATCGTTGGTCGCAGAAATCTGTTTGCGTATTTTAGGTATCAGCTATGTTAAATATTGAGCTATTTTAATTCTCGTACCCCGATTAGTTTTTTATCGATCCGCAGATGCAAATATTGATGATAGATTCAATTGCAATGTAATAAAAAATTCGTCAGTTTAAAAATATATTCTTTAAATCTGAATCAGTGGATAGTCACTATAATTACTCAATGGCTACTTAGCACTGATAATCAGTGCAGTTCAACTAAAAAATGAAGAATATTTGAGCATTAACTAAAATACTGATATTTATATGTTAATTTCAATTTTCCAATATATCTTATTCATTGAATTTATGCACTAAAACAAGGTTAATAATTAGATCGCATAATAAAAATCAGCTAGGTTAGGGATCTCACATTCCATTCACTGATTACCAGTGGTATATTGATATCAGTGATTATATCCACTAATTTAAATTTAGAGAGTATATATGCCAATCTGAAAAACTTATAATTGTTATATTGATGATTAAAACAACGCAAACATTATTTTAGCAGTTTTTTCGATGTAAGAATATTTAAGTAACATGTACGTTATATTTAGCTAGATTTCACTTCTATTATATAAAAAAATGTTTCAGTCTCATAATATTATACAAGTCTATTAAAATCAATAGAAATTGATTATTAAATATTTATTATATTAATCTCAATTTCGTCAAGGTTCTATTTTCTCAGTTCTATTTTCCTTCTCTATCACGTTTTTTATTATTTTTTATTATAGAAGTAAAATCAGTTAAAGTGTTGAAGAGTGAAATCATGAATCTAGATAAATAACTTAAAGTATCATAAATGGATGCAACTGCATCGATGTACGAAAACTTCTTTCAATCGCTTTTCCGATTCCTTCTATATAGGAATATATGTAAGGAACTTTTTCTCGGTCTGCAGCACCGTCATTCCAAGCATCTGTGCGTCGACAGCTCTGGCGAACTCGTCTTTGGAGTGCTGCCAATGATTTTTGGCTGACTCGTAGAACCTGTTGATGACTCTGCGATTCGCGTATTCCACACTTCATCTTCAATCGAATAGATTTATTCATGGATGGTGCTCGACAATTGTTCTTCAGTATTCAGGGCCGGATTAAGGTTTTTGCCGCCCCTAAACAGTGAAATTCTTGCCGTCCCCATTCAATTGTCCAACAACCATGCCGGCATAAGGAACAAAAAAAGACTATTTACAGGGATTGAGGAACCTTACCTTTATTGCACGTTTACATGTATTTAATTTTTTAAAATTATAACGACGCGATTTTTGCACGGCAAACTCATTAATTATAAAATTATAATCTGTTTTGACATTAAGCTCTGCTTCAATGTAAATACAATAATGCTAAGGCATTTAAACGCTCACTGCAAAGCGTTGAAAAGTTCTTCAGATTTGTGGCCACAATTTGGAATGAATTTAATGAATCGTTCTTTCGAATCTCCTTTTTTGGTTACATAGCGTAAAATAAATGTCAGTTGGTGACATGAGATATATCAGGAGTTGAATCAGTGCTTATTGAATAATATTTTGCTTCTTTTACTTTATTTATAATTTTTGTTAATAGCTTTCCTGACATAACTTCAATAAATTCATCACAAATTGTCGATAAAAGATAAAATATAGATCTCTTACCTTTATTTCCATGTACCTTTATACGCTCAAATAGAAACGGATCGAATTCAGCAATAAGCTCTAAAAGCATCGTATAATTGCCGATCTGAAGAGAACCAAAAAGCGTTCATTAGACCCCCTGAATGGTAGACCACGAGATGCTAATTATTTAATGACTGACACTATACGCTTTTTAAAACGTTTCGCCAATATTCTATTTCTTTTTCTATTTGTGCGGTTAAGGGGATACTAAATCGATTACCGAACTCGATCAAGGTCGATAGTACAGACTTTTTTAATTCCAAATTCGATAATAGTGGTGACATCTTTGATTCAATTTTTACATTATATTATATATAATATATATCATTCTGTCTTACTCAAACGCATACATCTGTTCTTATCTAACATATGCCAGCAACATTTATCGCAAGACCGCGCAACTACTGCTACACGGAATTTCGGCTCTGTTGACAGTCCCAGTCTTCGCAAAGCACCTGTATACACGTATTTTCTATTCGGTGGCGATACTTATTTTCTAGACTTTCAATCTTAGCTCTACAAACTCGTTATCGTTCGTTATTGTCAATAATGTGACCTCAGCTGCACGCTTATTTTTATGATATGGACTCTAAAACTCTTATATCAAGCAAATATATACCTGAGGTGACAGCTGTACGAGCCAAAAGTAAGTAAATTTTTAACGAATTTAAAATTTTTTTCTCATGAGATCCAGTGCAGCTGAGGTCCTGTTTGTGCGTACTTTAATTTATGTAATAATACTTTTGCAATCCGTACATCCAATACGGAGATTTTTCACCGAATGGAAATGTGGATAAAACAGGAGGCTTTAGCATCGCCTTAAAGGATTTACTTCTTTTTTTGATTTACTTCGATCCAATATTTTTATAAACATTTTTATAAACATTTTTATAAAAAATTGATATTACCTTCTTTTAAAAAAAATGCCGCCCCCCTAAACTTGCCGCCCCTAGGCAATAGTCTAGGTTAGCCTCTAATGCTAATATGGCACTGTCAGTATTATTATAGTCGTAGAATAAA